CCCCCGCCCAACCCCTTTGATTTCCCCCCAACACTCGTGCTCATGTAGGTGTCGAGGACACACTTGTGTACCCTGTGTACGATATTTTTCGGAACGCATGGATATGTCGTATGTGTCATGGATTGTCTCCCCTCGGTCTGTCGACGGGCAGAACGAGCATTGGGGATTTGCTCTGGTTCTTTGGTCTCGGCGTTCGACATCGAACGGATTATTCGAATATCGAGTTACATTCTCTCTCTTATCTTCTCCTCCTTTCGCTCTGTTCTCTTTCCTCTCTTTCCGTTCTAACGCCGTTCTCTCGTATCTCGCCCCGTTGCATGCAAGTAATTTATAGCCGCGACTACCTTCGAAGATTGTTACGACGTCCGAAACGTGTGTAAGATCTGTGAGCAACGTGTCTGTTTTACTGTTTAATAATTACTTTTTTGTGATACTATCGNCTCTCTCTCTCTCTCTCTCTCTCTCTCTCTCTCTCTCTCTCTCTCTCCTTATTTCTTTCTTTCTCTATATTTTTCTTTCTGTCACTTCCCGTCTCTATCTCGTTCTCATCATTATTAGTCGTATCATTGGTAGAATATATTGTATTAGTACTATTAATTGTGTTACTATTATAGAAAACGCTACTGCTGTTATACTGTCGCTATATTTTCAACACCCCCAGTTCGCGAGAATCGTCTTTACTTTATGATTGCCTAGTATATAATTAAGATGTTAACGACTTTTCAGTGTAATGCTACGTTACGAATGTACTTCTGTAATTCGTATTTTAAGGATAAGATTATTATTATTATTATTATTATTATTATTATTATTATATACATATACATTACACACAAGTACATATGGTACTATACGTTTTGTAATATTTTCTATTTGCGGCGCCTATATTTCTATGTAGAGAACATACATGTTACTTTTTTCAATCCTATACTCGGACGATGTTTTCTTCCCTTTATATTCTCACCCTTTCTGCTCTGTTTCTCTCCCTCTGCTTTCCGAACAGTATCGATACCGATATTTACGACATCTCGTAATTGCAACCGCGTTTCTCTACGCTTGATAATCCGACGCGCCTGTCGGGGACGGTGAATCCATAAGCCTATTCTACAATACGTCGTATGTCATTGTCGGATGTCAGAACGCAGCCGATGGTCTAATGAGGAGAACTAACTTTCGAAAAACTAAATTCTCTCATTGGACCATCGGCTGCGTTCCGGCATCTACAGCGGCATGCGACGTATTGTAGAAAAGGCTGTATCGCGATTCGCGCGTCCGAAGCGCGTACGTTTAGATTAAAATATGAATTCCGTGAAGCTAGCATTTTCTTTTTTATCCATCTCTCCGAACGTCATTGTATCGTACGTGCTTTCCTACATAGAAATGTCACATAGCGCAATCCATGTTGCGATCCCGATAGATTTTTCCACCCATTCATTACGTACTCGTTTTCCTTTTTTTTTTTTGCATTATTGCATTATTTATTAGATCGCAGTCATTTTGTGCGAACGACATCATCACGCGTGGATCCTAATCGCGCAATGCAACACTTCACATATTCTCTCTCTCTCTCTCTCTTTTTCTTTCTCTACTTTTATGCATCGTATGTATGTTCACTGCATGTGGTCGGAATGCGTATAAATCATTGCAAGTTGCTGTTATCGATATATTTGTCGTATTATTATCATCAGAGCATCCGCTCGCGTGACTTGCGAGCGAAACGATAACGTTTCTTCACAGTGAGGGTGAGGGTGTAGGAGTGACGCAAAACGAATTCGGCGTTAGTAGAGCCCGATCTTCTCGATGCGGGGGTGAAGTACACATGATGATACATTCCGAAAGTACGGACTGTCGTGCGAGACAGGTCGCGCGATTTGTCTCGCTCACGGGGATAATCGGGAGCAAAGAATCGGGAAAGCGCGCGCGAAGAGCACTTTTTGCCCTCCACCGTCGTCCTTTACATGTGTAAGACTGCCGTCGAAGATAAGCCTCTGTGCGAGCAATGATGACTGACCGATTGTGTCTCTCTGTGTCTGTTCACCCTTAGTGGACTTGGGCCAGCGCGTCGGCCGGTACCGTCTTCTGTCAGATGGAGGGATGATAGATCTTTTGTGAGCCCATCGCCAATCACCCCTAATCATCTCTCTCGACTTCGGTGTCATTGGCATTTTAATTATCAGACACGTACACGCACACATACACATCTACACGTATTATATATATATATACACACACATATGCGCGCGTGCCACGGAAACATTATGTAGCGCGTTACGCAGAGACACCGCGAAACTTACATCCGTTGTCATCGCCGAGCGTCGCGAGAGAATACACGTTCAACGTCTACTACGTTTAATTACATTTAAGCTTTTGTACTTGAGTTAGCATTTTATTTACGCTACGTAAAAGGAAGCCAATGTGATTTTTTTCTACGTAAAGAAGAAAAAGCAAAAAAAAATGAAGAAAAAAGGTAGGAAGGAAGGAAGGAAGATAAGAAGGACCGCTATCTTGCCGTTACGATTGATAATGATTTCGCGCGAGCCGAAGCGATTAGAGATTAGGTTTTGCGAGAGTGATTTAAATGCATTGTGGAGTGAGTGCTGGTGGACGATGACTGGAAGCGGAAGCAGCGGCGAGCGAGAGTGATTGGGACGCGAAAGTATTTATTGTCCGCGTAAGAATCTAATCAAAATTAACGTACTCTTCTCACAGGTTCACTAACAACTCTTACCGTTCATATAATCACACTTTACTTGTGAATTCTTTTTTTCTTTTTCGTCTCTCTCGAATAAGTTACGCCTTTAGACAACGTCGAGCTCACATTATTCTGCATGGCACGATCATTTTTCTTTCCCCTCCACTTACATAGATATCGAACACGCAGACAATTTTCGACAAAAGTCGACGCGAAAATTACGAAGTGAAGATCACGAGCGACATGTGAAATTCGTATATCATCAAAATTTCTATCGAGATATGGTGCGACCTCACGACCGAATGGTCCATACCGAAAATTGTTCACGTGGTGTGAGAGCTCAGACGGAAATTGTTGAGTGTAAATGACACTTCTTGAACGCTGAAGATATCCCTACTCTGTCACGTAACCGTGCGTGTATCCATTGTTACTTTTGTTTAAACGCGACAAAAAGAAAGAATCATTATTTTTTGGGGGGTATTCGAGAAACACTCGATCGGACCCAAATTGAAATTTTGATTCCGCATTAACTTTGCAAATTCCGTCGACGTATTTCATACGATATAATACTTGTTACTTTTCTTTGCTTGCAAACCTGTGATTAATGGTTTCCCTTAGTTTTCTATTTTTTTTTCTTGACAAGCACGTACATATATGTACTTGACTGTATATACACACATACACAACTAAACTCTTCTCAAAACGACAAATATAGAGACATTGTGTCCGTTAAGTAGAGAAGAAGCACGGTCGAAAAACAAATGAACGGGCTATATGGCGTAGCGGAAGTGCATGTTTATATATGAATACTATATGGACTGAGATGAAGAAGAGAGAAAGAAAAAAAAGAAGATAATGCTGTAAAGAAACGAATATTTTTCATAAAAATAAAATATCGTATATAAGTCAATAATAACGTCTAGAGAGAATAATATGTCAAATATATCCGCCATCGCGCGATTTTCTTCGCTGAAACAAGCCGATTCTTATCGTGTATCCCCGCGAGTCTCTCTCTCTCTCTCTCTCTCTCTCTCTCTTTCACGGTCACATTTTCGCACACGCATTCGCGATCGAGCGGAGATCTCGCGGGGATGGGAGCGGAATTTGTTGTGCTGATAGAGCTCAATATCGACTGGTAATAACGCGCAATCTCGATGAGAAATCGAGATCGAAAAAGTGTTCGTCGAATCGGTCGAAGAATTCACAGCCGAGGGAAGTCCCTCATGACACACCTTTCGGGATTATCCTTGCGCACCTCGTACTTTGATAAAATTATTACGATTATCGCGCGATACATCACGTACCGTACACACAACACACACAAACGCACACGCACGCATGCGGAAAGCAACACGTATGCGTTACCTTACTCGAGAACACTTTTCGATTGTTATACAATCATGAAATTTCGGTCGATCCCCGAAATCTTTCGTCCCCTGTATGCGACGGTTCTCTTTTCGAGAATGAATATTTCACAAACGCCACGAGTCTTTCTCTCGTCGCGTACAAACGAAATCCTGCGACTGTTTTCCACTTAATATTCAGCGCTATTTCATCATACGAAGTGCTTAATAGATTCATACACACACCCACACACACACACACACACACACACAAATATAAATATGTAGATAAGTGTCTCGCGCGATCCACGGGGATGCTAGCGCGAGCGCGCAGGTTTACGCGTACAGCCGAGGTTCGGCTTCTTCGGCATCCGCCGACTTGTTTTCGGCGCGACTTCCGTTGCATCATCATCTTGCGTTGCATCGACGACACTTGCGGGGTATTGTTGTACCACACAATTATAAGATGCAGCTGGTGCGCGCCACGACCTGCCGTTTCTCGAAGCGTATCGTCGACATCATCTCCTCGCGCGAACGCTAACTTCGGCGAACCTCCTCCGAGAGCCACGTGATGTGCATCCGGCATCTTGGTTGCACTCTCCCGTTCTCGGCTTTGCGATACGGTTCGGAGGTCGTTGACCGTTGCATAATCGCCGAAAAGAGCTCGCGGGTGGACACGATTTTTTCGATTAATAAAACGTACAGAACGGATTAATCGCACAATGACGATTTGTCCTCGCAACGGCGTCTCGCAAGTTTCCAGCGAATCGCATATCTTGTTAATCGCATACCAGTTTCACGGTTTCTTTGGAACATAGTTCCCTTACTTCATTAAAGAAACCTACTAAAGGCCATAGTTATTTTCATAAAGGTTTTTAATTGAAGAATTTATCTATTTATTTCTCAGAGATTTCAGATTAGACGTATCAGAATTATTTTTATTAGAGAGGCTACTTATGTATATATATGTATATATATATACAACTAACTTAACTATTTTTATCTAGGCGTAAACATAACGGGAAAAATTGGATGCCGAAAATGTAAGAATAAAATTATATTTTACTCGAGTGAAGGAGAGATTTTATATTGAATAAAAGAGAAGCATCTTATAGAGGTGGAGCGTTAGTCGTTAATTAAATTGTAGAACGATTTACTCTACGTAAACGTGCGTATAAGAGAAAAACCACAAATCAAAGAGCCGCAAGCTCAGCCGGGTCAAAATCCCATCGCGTTTTATGACGACTAGTCCGGCAAAAACGAGACGCCTCCAAGTATCGAAGATACGGATTCGAAGATCAATTCAGAGGGAGATTCTCACAGAGGATCTGTATCGTTTATTAATCGAAAAAAGAAAAAAAAACGAGAGACGCTCGGATCAGAGGTGCTCGCTTCGAGAAGAAGGAACACACCACGTTTCCGTGCCGTCGATAGCGAAACCACGAAGGGGATGGGAGGATCAACGAAGCCGTCGTTCTTTTGATAATTAACGTTGTACAAAGTGCGTGTGCGAGAGAAAGCAGGGAAGAAAAAGAGAAGAAAAATTGAAACAGAACAAAACAGGAGGAAACTGAACGTTTCGATTTCTTCGCTATTTTACGCCTGTGTACCAGCGATTGTTACGTACACCTTTATATAGTGATATAAAAGTGAATCTCGGTGCTCGCGTGGGAGCGAGTCGAAAACCGCTGAGGAAACGTGTTTCCCTTCGTCGTTAGATAGGATAACGCAATCGAGTAAACGCTGCGTGTCTGAGAGAAGTAAAGAGAGTTGTAGCGCGCGAGAAGCTTATTTTTCAGTAGCGAACGACTCACACAGCTCGATTTTTCATCCCCCCTCCTCCCCCGTCCGAAACTGAATGTGCTGCAGAACGTACGCTGCACCGGAGAATGTTGCGGACTACGGATGATGCGTGAATACGACTTTTATACAGCTGCCGATGTTTCTGTTATTCCTATTTGCGCGTAGAATTCTATATATGGTAACGATATAACGATACCATCGTCAGTCTTCGATCCGTACGTTTTAAGGGCGTTTATTACATCGGCTGACGCAGGAGAAGGGTGAGGACGCGACGGAGATGTACTTTTGCGCGGATTCAAAGTTCAGAGTTTGCTCAAAACAAAAAGTTCGAGAATATATATATATATATATATATATATATATATAAAATCGTAGAACTCGCGTGAAAATTGGACTGAAAAAAATCACCCGTCGCGAGTTTTACCGATCGCCACACGTGCATTCGCTCTTTCCGGGCCGTGATTTTTTGATTGTAAATTTATCGTTTAAATCTGAGACCAAAAGTAAAGGAAAAAAAGTAAAAAGAGAGAAAAATGACTGGACGTTGCGCTTGGAGAATACATCTCTTCTGGCTCCCCGGCTTCCTGATGCGCCTCGTGCTGGTGAGAACTCGCAAACACGACGTCGGACGACAACTCCCCTTGTACATTTCATCACAAACGATACGTCTGCCCGACATTCGGCCGTTTTACATTTACGCGATAAACGTATTTTTGTACTTTCTCCTTATTATTAAATTGAACGCAGGTGCATACGCCGCGCATCTACGCTCGTGCATATAAAAATATATAGGATCTTATATTATATATTACGAGTATTAATTGACGCTTACGAATTGCCCGTGATTTCTCATTTGGAAGACGAGAAACGTTCTAGATCGGTTATTTGCGCGTGGGGGCGATCCTTTAAAGAGGAGAGAAAAGAAAAGCAAAGAAGAGTAAAAGAAAAAGGAAAAGAAAGGAGGGAGAAGTTCAAAAAAAGAAGAAAACCGTAAAAGGATAAAAATAAAAAAATGATGTGTTTACTTCGCCGATTTTTTATAAGCACCATCGGTGTTTTTGTCGACGGATAAGATTTTGTCATAAGATTGTGAATATTACATACGTTAGTTACTGACAAATAAATGTTACACGATGCAGTTTGTGTAAGAATATCCCTGGTGTTCTTTCGAGCGAGTTGTCTCTTTCTCTTCCCTTTGATTTCGTTTGTCCGATTAATCCGATACTGTTCAATACGGCTACACCTGTGTCGCGCAAAATTCGAGACCGTGTGACGAAAAACTGCAATTACTTGTATCGTTGTCGGTCGTTTGCAGAACTCGCTTAAAAGAAGTTCAAACACCGTCCGACCAGAGCTATGCGTTTTATCTCATACGGATATCCGTATTTGCGGTTACACAAAAGCCTTTATACGAGGGGAGCAAAATACGTGTTCGATCTCAATGTCTCTGCAGTTATTATTATCATTATGTTACCGTACTCTGGATTGTCGAGGCTGCTGCTTTGACATGCGACGATACCCATCGGATCGACCTGCGAATGCAAGAGCACGCACGATCGATCTTCCCGTTGCTATTTGTTGCGACTGAAACATTTGCAACGATTAAGATATCTGCAATGAGCGAATTCCTAAGCAGCGGATGAAACTCAGAGCGAATCTCTTTAAGAGTAAGTGATATAAACGCGCGTGTCTCTGACTTTTTATATTACCTTTCCTCCGCTCATAATTAGGTTGCTCCACGTTTGACGAACGGTAAGTCGAAGAGAGCGATGGAGCTAGCTTATCGAGAAGTTTACGTTTTCTGCGGAATCCAACGCAGCGCAACAGAACATACTTATTTGCCTCCGCATAATAATTTCCCCCGGGAGTTCGACGCGCATCTCCCCCGTCCGAGAACGATCCAATTCGCAGTCACGTTTATATATTTAGAGAGCGTCCCGAAGAAATTCGAATAACACAAAGTGCATGTGTTCTCCTCCGACGGTGCGCAGATCGAATTTGCAATTTAAACGCCTTTCTCTCTCGCGGAATTGGACGGAAGTTCGGGGTGGCGACGGGTCGAGCTCCGCTCGGAAAGGACGGAAGATCAATGGCGAGCTTCGTGTTTCTCACGTTTTCCGTGTGTACACGAGTGACGTTTTCTTATTTCTCTCTTTGAGTTTACCCTTTTCTTTCTTTTTCTTCCTTCATTTGTCTTTCTCTCGTTCCCCCTTTTTCTCGCTTATTCTCGCTTCTTCATAAACATAAACGTTCATTCGCAGCTCCCTCTCGCCCCCACCCGCCCCTAACCGTCACTTCCTCGTTGACCGTCGGTTGACCCAGAAAATTACACCTCGCATCGCGCGCTCGCCTTTCTCCACGACTGACGATAGGTCTGCTTGCAGGGGAGTCGACATATTTGTGACTGTTGAGACTTGACTGATGGTGGGGCCGATCACAGCTAAAACACTCTTCACTGACGATCAACCGCCTCTGACGCGCAACGACGCACCGCTCGAATGATCGGATCGGTCGGTCGGTCGGTCGATCGATCGAACGAACGAACGATCAGTTGCGGATGATGAAAAAAATGGCAAACAAAAAAAGAACAACCATCGCATCCCCCGCCTGTGCCGCATCCGCCACCACACGCATGCATTGTTACATCCGCCCCCCCAACCCCCCCGTTACCGACTTCTTCTCGGTATACGCACATACACACAGTTACACGCATACAAATTGATGCTTCGCGCGGATAGGAATTCTGTGTTGCGTCGTAATTATTTAGAATTAATTAATTTAATATAAAACGCGTCGCGTCGCGTGGCGCGATCGTGGTGATACATACACGTAAACACGTGAACGACTTTTATATAAAAGGAACCAGGCCAGCCAGTTTTAAGCAATTTCGAAAATGGCTTTCTCCGCCCCCGGAGGAATGCATTTGTGGGGAAGACGAGTTGAAAAAAAAGAGATAGATAGATAGATAGATAGATAAATAGAGAGAGGGAGAAGGAGAGAGAGAGAGAGAGAGAGAGAGATTCATCGCGCAACGTTGCTTTCATATGTACATTCGTAAAGCGATATTATTAATTCTAGTTGAATTTTAAACAAATCCGGGGGATATCCGGTATATGTATATATTGGTAATTGAATTTTAAAATCGAGAATCGTGTTTGGTCAAGACGAATTCTCGTATCGGCTGTGTTTTTCGTTTTGTGGACATTATTTTTACGACGGATACTAATTTATAATGAAGGGGAGTAGCGACTTCTTTTGCGAGGCGATGCGAAGTGAGACGAAGCTCTCGGTTACTTCTGTGCAAAAGCCGTCCATTACCGGGGAAGTGCCTATGCTCTTTTTCTCTTGTAAGAACGAACACTCTTGTAAGAACGAACGAACGGCAGAGAGCGAATTGTTTCTAGTCTCTCTCTCTCTCTTTCTCTCCCTCTGTCTCGCAGTCGGAGACGGATCGATTTCTCATGTGAAATATGATGAACGGAAATCTCGAAGGAATGTTAATATGTGCCACAGTTTGCACACATTTTTCCCACCGACGAAATTGAGAACGTTAATTAAATCGTCACGATTGCGAGCCCCTGCTCACGGGCTTGCTTGGCAATTGATCATAGCAAAAGTCGAATGACAGCACACGATGCAAATAGTGTGTGTGACCTTTAACCCTTTGCACTCGAGGGCTCCGGAGCGGAGCCATTTAAAATTTGTTTTCAACCTCGAGGGCTCCGCTATGGAGACAATGCAAATAACTTTCAGTTTATAACATAAAGACAAAGACAAATCGTAAAAACTATTGTGTGTAGGATATTCCGCTCTTGCTATTTGCATTGTCTCCATAGCGGAGTCCTCGAGTTTGAAGACAAATTTTAAATGGCTCCGCTCCGGAGCCCTCGAGTGCAAAGAGTTAATTGTACTTTTATATTTTTACTTTATTGTACTGTTATACGTCGAATCATAATAAGAATTATAATAATAATAAGAACGCATTTTCCCTGAGAATACACGGTTAGTTACATGGAAAGTTACAGTACACAGTGTAAGTATTGGTCTTTTATTATACTTTTATCTGATAGATAAAAGTATAATGGAGATACTTGCGTTTCTCCTGATTACTCCGTTGCAATTGTGACGTTGGGTGTTTCGTATACTGTCATTTTGGCTCTTGTTAAAATCGATAATCGCATAAACTTATGAATAGCGGCCCGTAATCGCGGCCATTCGATGCTCTTTTAATTTCAACGAGGAAAGCATCTGCAAACCGTTGCGCGGGCAAATGTACGACCAGCCTATGCACAGCGCGCGTAAATGAGACGAATCGTGTCTTTCTGTCTCTATTTTTCTATCTCTTTCTTTTCCTTTCTTTATTATTAATTTTTTTAATTTATTTAAGAAATCGTCCCCGGGGAGAAGAAGAGAGCAGTAGCAATATTCGCGCTTTCGTAACTTATTTATTTACACTTCCCGACGTGTATTTTGTTTTTCCTTTTCCTTAAATCATGTAAATTCGACATCGTGAAAGCGTTTTTTTTCGGAGTCTTCTCGCAGGCACGAAAGACGATCGATTTTCACGTAGATCATGTATGTCCGATTTCTCTGTCGCAACTATATTTTCACGCGCTGATATTATTATTATTATTATTATTATTATTTAAGTTTGACTTTCACGTCGGCCTAATTTGTTACGATACTACCGTTTTTCCCGTTGTCAGCGTTAAGTGAAGCTGAGGATCGCGCAAGTTACTCGGCGAGCTTGCGAATTAACTTGTCCGATAATTCGTCCATAAAGAGCGATCATCCGTTTTTAGTACAATCGTGTTGAAACGATAAGATGAACGACTACGACGATGACAACGAATGATTGTTGATTAACGTGCGCATTGGTGTTTAACAACGCAAATACAATTGTTTCTATCCAGATATGGTGCGCTTTGTTATCTCTATTATCGGATCGGATCGTACGTATTTTATTTATGACAACGCACGTTGCAGTACCGGAGTTTCTTCTTTAAATACTCTCCATCGATCTTTTCCCTATTTTTTTTTCTTTATTTTTTTATCGTTTTTTTTTCTCGTATTATGCCACTCAAGATTAACGAGGATTAACAACGAGGGAATGTGGGGAGCGATGTTGCGCAAGCAAATGGAAAGAGAAGAACACGCGTAGCGTCGCGCGTAAGACGCGTTACGAAAGGACAATTAGACTACGTAATAAGATCCATCTAGCTGAATTACGATAGAAGATCTTTTTTTTTTTCCTTTTTTACATTAGATCGATAAGACCGTAGCGATAAATGTAACACCGTTTGACTTATCACGCGTTTTTTAGTATATTTAATATTCTCGAAAAAAAAAAGGAAAACACAGAAAAGAAGAAAAAAAAAAGATGGAAGAAGAGGAAGAAACGGAAGAAGAAGAAGAAATAGGAGGAGAGAGATACCTTTCGTTGTAGTAATAAAAGGAAAACAATATCTCACGCATATCCCGCAAGTATAGGAACTACTTAGGCGTTAAACGTTACACGTTACAAAATACATCTCCCCCCCCCCCGCCCCCCGACGTCGAAGTCGAATATCTATCTCCGCGCGCGAAGAAAAAAAGACGCACTCGAACTCGATAAGTGGACGTGGAATTCCCATCTCCAGATAGATTTCACTACCGGAAGCTTTACTGGGACCAATAAAAGTAATTTGTTAGTCAGCGTACTCGTTTCTCCGACGGTAATAATCGGAGCCGCGTAGCGTGACGCGCGGCCGCCCACGGCGACTGCGATGACGATGACGAGGACGGCGACGAAGACGGTGACGTTGACGATGACGACGATTTAATCTTAAGAGCTCTATTTATGGTATATTAAACTAATAAACTTCGACTCAGCCTATAGAGTACAAAACGCAACGTGACTTGATCTCAGATAAAAATAGAAAATTATTTTCGCTTCTCAGCCTCTGAAGAGCGCGCGGCATGTCTTTCGATTGATACAATGTATAAGGAAGCGCGTATGCGCGAAGAAGGAATCGCGCTTCAAAGAAAGGACAAAGAGTTCTTACGTTTTCGGAACGAAACGAGACGGGAACAGGGGAAGGAAAAGGAGAAAAGAAGGAAGAAGGGAGAGGAACGGATAATCGGGATCCTCCGATCTTCGGTTCATCGCGAGTCGATCGAACAATTTTTCCTGACTGCAAAATTCTTTTCTATTTAATATTTTTTTTTCTTGATTTTTTCGAACATTTCTCCTGGCTACAAAATTCTTTCCGGCTGAATATTTTTTCTTTTTATTTTTTCGGCCATCCACGGCGGATTTGTTCGTCGCGTTTACGCGAAGATAAAAGTGTTTGTGAGCCTCGAGAGTAAATTCTAATAGATATTATAAAATGTTATATTATTCGAGATATCGATCGAGAAGCGTTCACGCCTCACGGCGGAGAGGTTCAAAACACACGAGACAGGCTGTTGTTACTCACTCATTATCAGATCGACGACGACGCGACAAAGAAGAAGCCTTCGCGAGAGAGTATACCGCGATAAGTAAAATCGCGAACGCGACATCACACACTCGTCTTCTTTCCCTAGATCGTTTTCTACTTTTGTACGCGCTTAACTCGGTGATATCCCGAACGACTGACGAGTTGTGCGCCTTCTCCTTTTTACTCTCGCTCGGCTGAGGATACTTTTCAATTTTTTTTTTCTTCTTTACTCTGTTAATTTAACTAATCCGTGCACCAGTCGCGTAAGACTCCGCGATTCATTTCCTCGTGGTCCGTTTCCCGCGACGAGAAACCGCGCGAGAAGAATGCCTCTTTTATTTTTTTACGTACGCACCGTACACGTGTATAATCGCGCGTTTGTTCCTAGTGCGAGGTAGTTCACGGTTCCATCGTCGGTTGGAATTCGCCGTTGAATCGAATCTTACGCGATTCTCATCCGATCGGCCCAGCCCTCCCTCAAAACCGCGACTCCCTGGTCCAGTCCAATTTGATCGTGTTAACATCGTTTGTTAGAGAGAGAGAGAAAGGGAGAAAGAGAGAGAGAGAGAAAGAGAACAGGAAAAAATAGAGGCAATACTATGCTACTATCCGCAAAGTGTTAAGTTACATGTAATGCGTAAATGACAAGTGCGTTCATTACACACAATGTACCTTGCAATAAGAATAAGTTTGATATTAAAACGACATGCTCACTCATTTTTTTTTTGTTTCACCCTCCCGTCTCACGTCAATGTCCACCCACGCTTCCTTGTTGAGCACTTTCATGTTTTGCGCATGTTTCATTATATTTAAATTATTTTTTTTTTAACAAAGCTTCGACAGACATTTGACTTTTACTTAGCTCACAAGTGGTAATGAGACGCTCCCGATAATGACGATTTTTCATTAATACCGAAGATTAAAGAATCTCAATTAGAAACTCAGGCTTTAGGCACGTAAATCTGAGCAGACAAAGAGCAGACAAAAATATGGAGCTTGATTTTGCGATTAGTTTCAAGTAGACTTTGCGCAAATCTCACTTGAGGATTGCTTAGCGAGATATTTGACTTTGAATTTAATCTTACTAAGCGCTCAGACACGATGAAAAATGAGGAACAAGGAAATAAATATAAGGGATTAGGAATAAATTAGAAATAGTTTAAAACAAATAAAAGAAGTAAAAAATAAGATATATAAGAACGTTTTAAAATGAAATCACCGCTTGTATTACATATTTTCTAATGAATCTTTGTTGTCATCATTAGCACTTTTATCATTTTCTTGATAATTACCGATTGATTCAAACTGACTTTTATTTGTATATTGATGATCATTAGACGTTTTGAAGATTAACCATCAGTCAATTTCTAGATACTATAAGCACATAAATAATAAGGAATAAAATTTCGACAGCGATTCTAATCTTAGTTCTTCATTCCTTTATTGTGGGTTGAAGCACAGTTATCCATATGTCAAAATTTATTTCCCTGTTCCTAATTCTCTATATTTAATTCTATGTTCCTTGCATTGCGTTTAAAAGCCCTAAAGACTTGGCAACTTTGTCCTGGAAACTTCGATTCTGAGTTTGTCATCGAGTATTCAAGATATTCTCTTGGAAAGATGGAAGACAAGAAAACGAGAGCGTCATGAGCACATGCTCTGTGATTCTTCTTATATTTATGTTCTCATCTTACAAGTAGTAATAATTTGAATAACGTTCGAAAATTCAAACACACAGTATTTAGTATTATTTATCTTCCTCTGCCTCTGCCGCGACTGAAGCCTCCTCTGCCACGGCCGGACACCTTCCCCTTCGGCGGCGGCGATTTCGGTCGAAGTGCTTCTATCCTCTCGGTGCAGCCGGTGGTGATCTGCCCGTTGGCGAAATAACTCTGGTACAAATCCGCGTTGAAGTTGGTGTTGGTCAGTTCCGGGCCAACGGTGAGCCAGCCCGGCCTGATAGTGCTATCACGACCGAAAAGATGCAACCTAAAACACGAAAGTAATGAAAGTTTACGAAAATAATGATACGAATGAAAGAGAGAATAAGATTCGGAATTATCTTATATCTTGGAAGATGTAACGATCCGTGATTTCTCTTACAAACAAACACTCCATGTTGCAATTTGTTTGATTACAACAAAGAAACCCGGACGTTAATTTTGCATACTTAATGGTATCTTTGTATATATGCAGCAGTATTTCTTTATTATTTTCATTGCTATTTATTTTAGTGCTGTCGATACGAATCAGATATCTAAGTATCTATTTGGTACTTGACACTCGAGTATATCCAGTAGCAAAAATCGCGAGTGATAACCAGATAATATTCATCTCTCACCTGTTATTGATTTCCGTAGCGGCTGATTTTGCACCAGCTAACTTTATCTCTTATTTTTTTCTCAAAAGTATTATGTAATCAAGCAATCTTTTACACGTCAATTTTTTTTACATGTTTTTACGAAACAACGCTACTCGATTTGCAATCGTGTCACAAAGTCAGGGTGATTCCGAACCGCTCTCTCCGTCCGTACACCTTCGTACCGTCTTCGGCCGAGGCAGAAATGCTCGATTATGTGGAAGATCTCCACGGGCTTCTCTATCGAGCCGTAGTCGGGCTCCTCGGATATGATGAGATCGATGTCGACGTTCGCGTGGATGAAGTCCCCGTCAGTGGAGCGCCGCACTGTACCCTTGATGCCCATTAGACAGTGCTCCTTGGTCCTCTGCAATACCGCCTTGCTGTCCAAGTTCTTGCTGTGGCCCGGATTGTTGATATTCGTGCGGATCCAACAAATGTCCTCGCAACGTCGGAAGCCCCATTTGCGCAAGCAGAACCGGCCCATGTCCAGGCCGTCGCTGCTACCGCACCAGAGGAACACGAAGCTCCGGTTGGCCGCCACCTCGCCGATATCCAGCTCCATTATCTGTGCGCAAACGAACCAGGGCTGAAACGCTACGCTCTGCCTTTCTTCCTCTTTCCTTTTCTGCTTTTTACTCTTGCAGTATAGTGTAATTGTTGAAAGGAAAGAAAAAGAAGAAACAAACTAACTTGGTCCCAATTCCAGAGTTGCACATTGGTCGCGCCGCATGTTCTCTGATATTCTTCCAAAGGTGGCTCTATAAGAATGACATCAAATTTACAATTGAGCTCTTTCAAGTTATACGACAGCAGGTCTGTTTTTAGATACATTGGTGGCGTCGCGGTCTCCGCGATCAGATCGTCCTTCAGCTTGATCAATTCGCGCAACTTAGGATACTCCTCGAATCTGTCGGCTAAGCCCACGTCCCTGATAAAATTCTGCGGTCGTTGGCCAGTGTCAATGAAGTGTTGACAATAGTCATTATGAGGATTAGACGATTGGGTTCCCTGAAAGCACACAGGACAGTGTTTCAGTGATTGAGAATGAGATGTACGAACTTCTAATGTGTACGCACGTACTTTCAAGAAGGTCGAGGAGTCTTTATATACAATTTCATCCGTTGGTGCAGCGTCATCTTTCAAATCCTTGATCGTATTATCAGACTTGTCATTGAACTGCTTCCCTCTCTTTCTCTGTGATTCCTCCACATCCGTTCCTAAGATTTGCCTCAGCTCGTCTACACTGGAAACTCCCAGCTGCGAAAACAAATGCACAAATGTATCAAGAATACTGTCGGAAACGCGCTCTTAACCTAAGAACGCAATAGCCACAATCTCCTTTTCTCCGGAATGTAAATCACGCTCACCGTTTGGGCCAAGAGTTTCTTGCGCTTCTGAGAACGCTCGCGTAGAGTTTGCAACATCGTTTACATTCCCATTCACCACTTATCGTTGATGTAAACACATCCAACCGGTTCTCGTTTCAGTTCCTCTCGCAACGCGTTAGACGAGTCGCGGAATAAAGTTGAAAGATGATGAACGATGCGTCGAATGCACTCATATTTTCTCGAAGAGGTCGATTTTCATCGGAATTGTGGATATTACTTGCACATTGCGGTCTTGTGTTTCATGAAATGACGCTGTCCATACGTGATGTGTATCTTCCCAATTACGAATGAAGAGGTTAAGGTTACTCCATCTCTTATCGACTGTACATGTAAAGGATGAGATTGAAATATAAAGACCTCCGATGTTATATGTGTTCTGTGTATTATCGGATGATTTTCGACAGAAATCAAATATAAGATTAATATCATATTATACTATTTATAGGTATTTACATAGGACGACTTTGTCAGCACGAGAAATCCTGTTCAAGATTTAGATCCCCTGCAAGTCTTTCACTTTGATATCAACGGAGCAGAAAGTCGGTAGCTGGAAAATGCAGCTCGCATCAACGAGAATTCTACTCGGACTACACGCGTGGAAAAACATCTCTAAGATTTCCCTACAGAATTATTTAATACCAAATTAGACAAACATATTATTAAAAAATAAAAATTCATAGCGGAAACTCAAGAATTAATAAAAGAATTTATTTAATTATAAAAGGTTACTTAGCCGAGATTTAAACGAACTATCTAGCGTAATCTAACGGTATCAATCAAAACGCTCATTCCGAAAAGAGTCTCGATTAAGTGGTGGATAAATGTTGGTAAAAAGAGGTTTGAGTCTTGGGTGTGTGATGTCACTTTAGTTGTAGAGTCTCCGCTACGAGCCGCCACCGTACTTATTTGAAGTGGTTAGAACTCAATACAAAAGTCAGATGCCTCTTTTATTTCTCAAGTAGTATGACTCATTGAATAGTCAGCCGCAATTATCTTATATTGACAATAATATTAATAGTATATATAAAAACCAAGGAAACTTTAAGTCATTATATTTATTTGTTAAGGTTCATTATATCTATTTTCTAAAATATCGCGGAGCAGAGCCGACATATTTTTCGAGACAAATTTGTTCGAGGCGGAAAGCAATTCGAGGATAAAACGGTGGTTTATCAGACGATGCGCCAAAACCACATTTTCCTCGTCACTCAACCTCTCGTCCCTCAATTCGTCATACACGCGTGTTATTCCTTCGCGAAGACTTAAGGAGGTGTGAAAGAGATCCGTTTGAGATGCGTGCCACGATAAACACGCGGCTAAAACAGCCTGAAAATGAAATCGTTGCAATGAAACGCTACTTTTAGATGCAATTATTTCATCATCGGCAAATCTAAAAAAATATAAAAATCCTGCTTTAATGTTTTAAACCAGATGATTAGACATTACTAATTAAGATTTTGCCTCCAGTTTAAAATGAAAATTAGCGTTTCCAAAATCAGGTTTTTGCAAAATTATTTTTCCTCAGATTAATTCTTCCAAAATTAGTTCCTTCAAAATTAATTTTTTCAAATTAGTTTCTCCAGAAAAAAGTGTTTCTAAAATTAGTTTTTTCAAGATCAATTTCTTCAAAATTAGTTTCTCCAAACTTAATTTTTTTACATATTTCGCCAGAAGTAATTTTTCCAAAATCAGTTTTTTCAAAATTATCTTTTTCCATCAAGAAAATCCATGAGTGGCGGATGGATGAATTTACCAAGCAAACGTCTCGTGGCAGCCAATAGGTTACACTGTCATTCCATTGGATCTCATGATCTTCCTGCTCTAATGCCTGGTCTAATTCAGCCGAATCATATTCTTGCTCATCCGTAATGACCGACGCGTCTTCCACGATTAGATGCTCGGGTGTCACTTCCATCGGCAAAAGAGTCGCAGGATCTACCTCGCCGTTTCCATTCAGCTGCTGAATCATCACTCGACGTTTCGGGAATAACCTTTGCTCGTGAGATCGTCTTTGTTCAAGTAGAACCACGCCCTTTGCCACTCTGATCATTAGGCAGTTCATAGTGTCTCGTGCTACCTGGAACGTCCACGCGACATTATCGCAAACGCAACAAGTCGACTTGAGATTGCGCGAATTCGCAAATATTTTAGCACACGTCTCTCCACTGTTTCGTAGTTTACCTCAATGGCTTCTTTTCGCAGTGGCGTCAGATGCAAGTATTTGACGCGACTCTTCAGTAGCTCTTGAACGTACCTCTCGCCTTCTGTTGTATCGGTACAAACCCTGTTGCCAGTAACGAGACTGAACGCTTTCCCGAGACCTTCTCGGGGATCTTTGTTCTTGCAGAACGCCAACAACATGGCGGTGTAATTGACCGTGTCTCGATCAGCCGAGAACATGTGGCGGAGAAGCTCTTTCGCCAATAACAGCCTCAGTACATCGCTGTCGGGATGACGATCGGTGCAAAATCGCACGAATTGCAATTGTCAAAGGTCGTTGTGTGTAAATAAGCAATTTTTCAGAATGTTTGATCCGATGAAAAATCCGTCCAGGACGTTCGCTGGACTAAAATCGTTGGAAACGGAAAACTCAAATCTTTATTTCAAACGGAAAAATAAAAAAAATATATAAAATAATGACAAAAATAAAAAGCAAATAAAAGTACAAATATTTTTAATTAAAATTTTAGACAAATATTAAACCGTTCGTTCCATTATTATCAATCGACTCAGAGTTAAAAGGAGTTCCTCTCGACTAATTTTCAATTCGACGCATTTTACTTCTTCCGAATTGACATCAATGAGCTTTTCGTATACCTGGAATTATCTTCCCTGGTCTCTATCAAGTCGTTCTTCAAACCGGAATCGCTAACATCACGCGCACCCAATCGCGCCGCTTCGCGTAACATTATGTCCATTACGTCCTGGTGATCGTTACAGTCTTCCTCCTCGTCCAAGAACGTTTCATGATCACCGTGGAGGTTCTCATGGAAGACGTCAGCCGACGTCTCGACGTTCTCGAGGAACCACAGTGGCGTCGATCGGTACTGATTGCGAGAGATCACTTCCCGTAATTCGGGATCCTGCCGTCTGAAGGCCGCTTGCGCCCTCAGGATGTCCTGGCACGACGGCACAGGCAGATCCATCGCGTACACTATGAACTCTCGCCACTCGATGTACTCACAGGCGCCGAACAGTTTTTCGACCAGGGTCTCGATGTCGGGAGCTCGCAATTGTCGCCAAGCGCACGGTACAGCCGCCGGATAACAGTCCTCTTCGCCACAGGACACCAGGTCCTGCAGGATGTAGATCAAGGCGCGCTCATTGATGATCCCGTGCGGTGCGACTCGCCGGAAAATGTCGAATAATCGCGCAAGTTGAATCATTCGAAATCGTAGGGACGAAAGGGTTTCTTGCACGAGAACGGTGAGTTGCTGGGGGTCATCGAGGAACATCAGGATATCCGGCCTTACGACGAATCGGTCGCCGTCGAGCAAAAGCTCCTGCTGAATCGGCTCGGCCTCCTCGATGGCGAAGCAGAAGACGTCCGCCATATTGCTGATGCTCTCGATCTCACGTTTGTATCTTTATCATTTTTTCGTTTTTTTTTTTTTAGTATATTAACGTATACAGAAAGTATACTGTATAGTTATGCGTACTATATACGGTGTTATCGTACTCTCCAAATTTCTTTAAGCTCGCTTAAAAAGAGCGAAAATTCACTCAAAAAAATAGGGGAAATATTATCACTTGAAATCGTAAGGGTAAATGTTTCACTCGAGTTTAAAGTGGTTTCCGACGCCATACAAGTGAATATTGCGATCGATCAGAGAGTGAGGGAGAATTTATTTCTATGATAGTGAGGAATATTAAATTCACTTTTCAATTGCAAATGAAAATATTCATAATTCAATGAAAATAGTGCGAATGAAAATATTCAACAATTCAGAATGGGGAATTCTCTTAGTGTGAATGAAAAATTATTTGAATTCTAGCGAACTCGGTTCCGTCATTCCACTTTTCAAACGACATTTAATTCTAATTTGGGAGAAACTTTCTTTCAAAACATTTTCTTCCGAGAAACTTTGTTCTGAGGAATTTTCGCTTCAAGAAATTTAGAAATCTAGGGGATATAAGTCTCTTTTCATGTCACGTTATTAATGGTATCAACCTCTCGACGATGCGGTCGTGCAAGCGATGAAAGGTTCGCCGCATCGTGTCCAGAAGAAAAGCCACGTCCGACCGAGCAGCCGCGTCCAATACGTCCAAGCGCCGACGAATACGATCAATCTCGAACCGAATGGCGTACCGCCATTCTTCGACCAAGTCGCGGCTTCTTTTCTCCAACTTGATCAATATTGAGTTGGGTGATGCACTTGTTATTTTCCCTACTTTATTTTTCGACTCAGCGCTCAAAACCGCGGCTTTTTCTTCTTTCTTCAACGTCTCCATGATCGTCGACGAGGTGGAGTCGACAGCACTTCGCACTTGTCGAATGGTATCTTTGATAACATCATAAACGACGTTCCGCTCGGGATCGAAGGTTCTCGACGCGTTCGTCAGGAGACTCTCGATGTCGGTCTTGAAGTGCTTGATATGTGTCGTGCGAGTAAAAGCATCGACCGAATCAGTCTTCGTCTTCGTTGTTGTTTCCTTTTCCTTATCGTTGATCGGCTCGTCCGTTGTCTCAGAATTTGACGTTTCTCGAAAATCGCGATCTAATTCCACACGATCGAGAAGGATCTTGGAAAACCGCGACTCCTGCAGAGGTTTCTGCGACATCGACGTGTAGTAGTCCTGAAGGAGCTGCACGGTGTCAACGAATCTGTCGCTCTCCGTCTGCAGGATTTCGATGTACACGTTGACGAGGACTGCGGTTTCTACAGGGACCCACTGGTTACGCAGGATGCGTTTTCTCTCATTCTCGGCTTCGTGCCGCCGCGCGTCGCAGAGCTCCCACAATTCCGCTCGGAAGTCGACGACCTGCAGACGAATTTCGGGATTCTCGGAAATGCATAGGTATTTTTTCTAAGTTCTATGTTATTGTTACCATTTATCATATTTCTTTTATAATATTATGTATATTATTTATTTATTAGCATGATATATAAATATTATATAATAGACAATAAATAAATATTATATTAATATTGCGCGTGTATCCCTTTAAGAAGAAAGCAAAAAGACAATATAATTCGTAAAAGAGAAATATAAAAAATGGTAAAGTTAAATTGTATTCAATATTATATCATGTAATAAGTTATATATTATTCTTTTATGCTAAATTTATATCATTATATTTTACTATACGTTATATTACTTTCTGTAATTGAAAAATTTTCGCACTAACACGACAGTGTAGCTCGCACTTCATGTCTATGTCTTCCCTGAGATCCTTATCGATCTCGTTGAAGGCGCGATGGAAATCTTGCAGCAAATTCTGCCGATTGTCGGGCCGATCGATGAAATTTCTCAAGTTCCTCAGAACTAATTCCTTATAGGGAATAATAGCCGACGTATGGATTCTCTTCAAGGAAAAGATCTCCTTCAGGTTCTCCACGTAGCCATCCTCCATACTCTCCCAGAGCATGGCTAAGGTCTCCAATAAAAGCGGAGACTGCGGAAAGTCCATCCACTGCCAACCGTATTCTCCGGGTCTGACGGGAAATCTCGCGAGCTGTGTTTCCGCTACCGCTGGTGAATCACGATTTACGGTTTCGCTATTTCCCACCTGATCGCGTTGTAACTTCTCCCACTTCGATTTCAGCACCCAACGTTTAATAATAGCCGCCTCTGGATCAGTGGGAGGTTCCTGTTCCTGCGGAACCTCATCAAGGAGATCCAAAGGCGACTCCCTCCCAGTCAACCGCTCGCCCGTGATCAATTTGGCCAGTTGTTTCATGCTTGAGAGGTCCAGAATGTTGTAATAAAATCCGTGCGCGATATTCTGATCAGCGTAATATTCGTCCATGGAAGTCGCATCATCGGGCAAAGGTATACAACATATATCTTGATTGCTTAAGGTCTTCGGCTTCGGCATTGCCTTGATATATACCGTCACGAACGAACTGGGACGATCTTTTTCTTTGGAAATTGGATCCGGCAATAATCTGGATTGCCTGGTAGAATCGTACAATCGTTAGATCTTCGAAGGTCCAAGTTACATACGAATATAGGTGGCCTTGATACGAGGTAATCGAACTCACCGGCACATCGCGTATGTGTCGACTTCATCAGAGTCAAACACTATTCTGGGTGACTGAGGATCGATGTCCTCGATGTCCTCGATGCTCGCGAGATCGAGGACGTTATTACGATCGGGAGGCATTCGGTATCCGGTCAACGCTTCCTCCAACATTGCCATCTGCTTGTACGTGTTGGGATAATTTATTAACGCCCAACCTTCGACGCTCTCTATTCCCTTGAGGTATTCCATCAGTATCTTCGTGTTCAGCTCGTTAGAGATTGACTGACCCAACGTGAGAAATTCGTAAGTCCATTTACCTGCGCGTCACATATGGCCGATCACCGACAGTTTTTGCTACCATTATTAGCGATAAGTAACATCCCAGCAAACATGATGTAATAATGACGTCTGTCATGTCGTTAGAATATTTTTAGTACGTCACTTCTTAGTACGTCATCGTGTTTGCTGGGATTTAAGACTATTGCCATCACAATGTCTCTTTCTAATATTTGTTTATATTATAGAAAATTGTAAAAAAAAATATATATATATATATTTCGACCGCACATTTTTAACATTAAATATGTCCTCTGACTGAAATACGATTCCTACATAATATGATGAAATATAATTAAAATATATAATTTTCCCTGACCAGTCGTCCTGATAAAAAGTATAACTGAAATATGATTTTTAATCTATAATAAAATGTGAATGAAATATGATTAATATGACGAAATATGGAATGTTTTTCTGGCTGGAATAATTTTATATATAATTTTCACACGAAATAACTAGAATTCAGAGTTAGACAGCTAAAGACACTTTTAGCGCTAAAGAGGAGGTGGAGGAAAGGCGGTTAGAATATGGACGTCAGAGAATATCACACGAATATACCGATGTACGCGGCATTGCTCAAGGTCGGGTGCAGATCATCGTAGGGGATCTGCCTCGGTGTTTGCGTTTGTTTCTCCTCGACATTCTGCCGCTGCGTCACTACGGTATTTTTCACCGTTGCCTGCTCGGGTAACTTCACGCGACGGTTCTTCGGACCATTTGTCTTGCCATCCGATCTCCTGACGTCTCTCGCCGAGACGATGTCGAGATCGATGTACTCCACATCCGCCATTTCTCGCTTGTACTTTTCCAGACAATGATCGATCGCGTCCTCCATCTGCAGCAAGTGCACGTCGCACTTCTTCAGCAGCTCTCGCAGCTCATCGAGCAACGCTGTGCTTGTTACACCCAAGACAATGGCCGCAACTTTAACTTTCGGCATCGAAGGAGTCGTGATTTCGGTGGGTAACTTGTGCAACATCCTCAGTAAACGATGAGCCACGTAGCCCAGCACGACGCAACCTAATCTGGAAACCTCTTCAGCTTCGTCTTCTTCTTGTCCTTCTTTTCTCGTCGGCACGAATTCGTCCCAAGGTGAAGCCAAATCTCGATAATTCTCGAAGTCCGCATCAGCCAAGACTCTCTGACGATCCAGCTCCAGCTGAAGAAGTTCCAGCTTCTGCTTGTCCACAACTTTTTCTTCCTTTCCATTATCCGTACGCCGCGTGTCTTTCGTCTCTCCGTTCTTCGGATCATTCCCGTCCTTTATCATGATCTCGTGACTCCTCGTTTCTTCATCTTCCGCCTTTTTCCGCGTGTCTTCCTCCTCCACCCCCTCTGCGTCTGCGACTTCAAGAAAATCCGAGTACTCCGCGAACTCGAAGATCGGTTGATTCTTCAGGAATAACGTCCTGCAGTCACTCCAGATGGAACGTGGCACGCCATCATCGTCGGCCTGGCGATACTCGGCGATTTTTACCGCGACATCTGCGAGATCCCTCACGACCTCCAAGCAGATTCCGCGTTGCATCTCTCGGAACCTGCGCACCTTTTTTAATAACATTCTTATTTATTTATTTACAGAAATTTTATCCCTTTGGTACTTCAAACATAATTAGCAATTTATTTTATAACGTTCTCTGTATAACGCTGAGCACCAGAAGAAAAAAACTCAGGGAGATAAATTCTACGTTATCATAGTAAATAAATATACAGGATGTTTTTCTAAGTACTGTCTAATATTTGAGGAGTTGATTTTCTAAGTTGTGGACATTTCATGAAGAAATTACCACATGTTCATATGAACTTTTCTTTATAAAATGATCTCAAAAATCAATTCCTAAAATGTTGGACAGTACTTAAAAACATCCTGTATATTTATGTATTTGTTACAACAATATAAACTTTGCTATTCCTCAAAATAATTTTTCCTCCGTGTGTTATACTTTAATCTGTACAACTTCAATGAATGTTCTTAGACGGCTTGCTTTAGAATAGAAATAAACGTCTTCCTCTCTCTTTCACCTTCTCTTCGTGAATCCTCTGATGTAGTTCGCGCATTCTACGGACTTCCATCTCGACGTCTCGCGCTTCCGCTGCCGCTGCTTCCTGCTCGCGACGCTCCTGCAGCCGCTGTTCGTTCTCTTGGATTTTCAATAGCATCGTGTCGACAATCTTAAGATTCTCCACGACCCTGTTTCTCATGTCACGCACTTCACACAGCTTCCTCATGATTTGCTTCTCGTACTGCGACTGATTCAACACCCGCAGGCCGAGAGCTTCGTCGAACGACTTGTCTTGCTGCTTCAGTAACTTTTCCCACGCGTCTACTATCATCGTCGTCTGCGTCTTCAGCTTCGAGTCATGGAATTTAGCCGCCCGCTTACTGCGTTTCTTCAGGAAGTCGACGTACTTCGTCGCGATCGCGGGGTCCTCGACGGAGGTGACGTCGAAGTACTTCTTCTGGGGACAACACTCGACCAGCTTCTTCTTTTGCGTTTTGCAAGCCGGATATTTGAGAGCGAACTCGTCCAGTCTTTCACTCTCTTCTTTGGCCTCATTCTCTACGTCATTTGGGAAGTACTCAACTGGTATTGTGAAATATTTCATCTCGTCTTCGAATCGTCGTCGTTCATTTTTGCAGGCCTGCAAAATACTCCAGAATTTATCCCGATACCATAGAATGGTGTCGGTCGCCTCGATCAGTGGCTTCGAAAGAGGATGCTCGGGTGGCTGATAGATAGGTGATTCTTCGCGTATTTTGGTGATACGAAATTTGCTGGATGCAGAGGCCAATTTTTTCCGTTCTTTCTGCAAGACAATAAAATCCAGTCGATCTTTGCCTTCCAGGCTGAAGTAGACCTTGTAGAAGAGCTCGAGAGCTGCTGCACCTTTAACCTGAAGTGTCGTTCAATGCTATGAAAGCCCTTATCGTCATGACATAACGATGTTTTTGTAAAAATGATATTTTTCGGAGGCAGGAAGTTTACTTTAGAGATCTTCTCGATGCATTGGTCGCTCAATGTGACGTTGATGAGCTTCAGCCAGATCTGCAGAATCTTCAGGTTCACCCTGGACAGCGCCGGGTCGTACGTGCGCACGATCATACTCAGCTGGTTGCTGCTAATTACGTCGTAATTGTGGAGGATCTGAGCGATCAATGTACCGTCTCTGGTGTGGCGGCCGAATATCTCCGGAGTGAGATCCATAATCACGCCAAGTTGCGCTTGCAACCACGTTTTCAGCAGGTCGGCCATGACGAGGGTTTAATGACTTGGAGAAATTTCGGACCTTTTGAGTCCGAAAGTCGCGAGACGCGCGTTCCCGACGCTTGCGACGTGGCCGAGACATTGTGGCTTGACGACTGCCGTGTGAAATTAGCGCACGATCTGCTCGGAGATCGATCATCTGACACACACACACACACACGCATGTAAATTTATTGAGAGATCGGAGAAACACTATGTCAAATGTATGAAATATACCTACCTGCGCATTATTCGTGTATTTAGATTTACAGATCACTTTTGTTTAATGAAATGATATTCTAGTCATTAGTAATCAACTTTTTCTTGGGTGAGGCGTGATTCGACGATTCAAGAAATTTTCCTTTAATTTCGAACGTCGGAAAATTTCATATTCAAATGTCCGTAAATTTTACACATTTCCTGACGTAGCATACATACAATTTATTCAAATATCCGTTTCACTAGCAGAAAGATAAATAGAAGACATCGTTGAGTATTGCTCTTATATCTGTTAAAAAGATGAAATCGACGCTTTGTATCATAAATCCAAACCGAGGTTTTCAACTGGTCTTTAACGTAGATTAATGTTCACCTTAAGACTCCTGGGTAGTCACTGTCTTTGTTTAATGATGTCAGAAGCGAGAAAACGCATGTCAAGAATTCTTGCGTTATACGTTCAAATAAAAAGATATACTCACAAAATGACATTTGTGATCGATTCAGTACACTTGTGAAATTGTCTGTGTATTTTTCTTTTACTCGAGCAGGCAATAAATAGTCACAAAATTAACATTGACAAAATCATGAGAAAGGAGGTTAAGATAAATGGTTTCGTGTCAAATTAATTTTGCGGTTGTTTATTGATTGTCGAGTAAAAGAAAAGTACACGGACAATTTTACAAGTGTATTGAATCGACCACAGATATTATTTTGTAAATATATCTATTTATTTGAATATATAACGCAAGAATTCTTGACATGCGTTTTCTCTGACGTTATCAAACAAGGACAGTTACAGGACCAGGAACGTTAACGCAGAAATCGATGCCTTTCGCGTTTTTATAATTATGCTAATTAATACGTGCCTTGCCGAACCATTTTTAAGCAACTTTTAATTCATGTCACGTGTACCGAAAAAAAATTATAAATATATTATAATTATTAGTTCATGGTTTTTATTTTTTTTAATTCTATTGTATTTCTTTGTCTCTTAATGACAACAATATCCGTAGGGATCGAGTTCATCGTGCACTGGAAACAGTACACGTGGCAGGAAACGTGTTAATATTCATTTCACGATCTTACATCCATCGGAAGCGCAGTGATTTCCCTTTCCAGCGGTTTTTGTTTCAAGTCGCTACCGCGTCTAGAAACGGAGATATCGACGTTTGCATCGATCCGCGTTCTCTATTGGTCCGGCGCTGCCATTGTGGGTGAAGTCACGTGCGGCACGACGCGACACGTGGGTGAGAAAACAATAGCTGCATTCCACAAATGCTGTTCCAGAAAAATCATACCTCGTCTATGTGACAGCACATAGTAAATGCGGCCTTGACCCACAATATCGAGGCCCCGAAATACGGTCGACTCGTCACGTCGGTCCTTCACCGCAGCCGGAAAGACAAGTGCAACACGAGACAATGGGCAGGTGCGAAGGCAGGTACCACGTTCGACTAGCGCCAATGCTGAGCTGAAATTCGGGTCTACGTTGTGACTTTAAACGGCTGTAACTCGTGAACGATTCGACGTAGCGACATGAAACACAGAGCAATCTTCTTGGCACGCTCTCTCGCATACATTTATGTCGGCCTTTTGTTGCCGATTTGAAAAAGCCGAGCGTCGTGATCGGTTAAAGTTTATACGAGCAATACACAAAGTTTCTCTTACTCGCGATAGAATCTTCCGGATTCTTTTTTGTCTCATCTATTGTCACAGTGGCGAGATTAATATTATTATTATTATTGTTACCGTGGATCGGCGAATTTATAATTTAATCTTGATATTTATATAAATGCTTTAAAAGGGGATCGTACGGGTGGGGAGACAGTCGCAGAGAAAATAAGAAGCCCAGGTTTGATATTTTAAAACATCAATTTAAATAACCAATAATTCATTCACATACAACATGGTATATCTCCTTTAATATTAAAAATTAAAACCTATAAATCATGCATATAAAAAGTGTGTGTATTCTTGTTGTTGTTGCTACTGCTGCTGCTGTTATTCTTGTTGTTGCCTCTTCTTTTTCTTGCTTTTTTTCTCTTTTTTTTTTTCTTATTTTCTCTTATTATTCCCTTATACTCCGCTGCATATACACATTACAGGCCTATAGGTACAGACGGGTAAAGAAAATCGTGGTTCATCAGCTTTTCTTTATTATCAATATCAGACCAACAGCGTCGCTTGAGCATTGGTTCGGCTCGCCAAGAAATAATTACGGATCGCGACTCCTCTGTGAATCGTGGGATAGTTGAAACTCTCGTGGGACAAGTACACGCGAGAGAATCGTTCTCGCATGGTGTCATGTCTCGTCCTCTACGGGATGAGGAAGGACACACGGAAACACTCCGCGAGAAGTGGACGAATCGAACATCGAAGGAGATTCATTCCCGCGGGATTGAATACGCGATTCTCCGAATCGGGGATCAAATCTAACATATCTCCGTGTTGCCGATTCATTTTACGTTTAACATTATTGGCACCGTTGGTAAACGATCTAATATCTACGTAATACTTTCTACGATGAAATCGTCATTTTCTGCGTGATACTTTTGTAATAATAATCTTAATTTTAGGAAAGCGGTCTATCTCATTTGTTTCTTTTTTCTTCTCCAATGGTTGTTCGCGCGAATTCAAACAAACACGCAGAAATGGGGAGATTCGTAAAAGTAGATTCAACGATCTCAAAATTGGAAGATTTGACGCTCTCCAGGATAAATTCCCGTCGATTTCTCTCGATTCGCCCGTCTCTCGCGAAATCACTACCGGGCGGGCTTCGCGCGTGTCAGTGTGTGTACGTGTATGTGTATCGAGGATCCTTAGAAAAATCCAAAATGGAAAGAAGAGGGCTACCGGTTGACGTATGACACGACAAATTGGTGTATTCGCAAAAGGCTAAGAGCTAAAGACGCGCGAGGTCGATCCGCGCCAATTGACCCCAACTCGATCGCCGCGCGTCCACACGACCTTCGTTCGCAAGAGTCCTCGTACGAGCCGTACGGCGAAGTCTTTTCCCCGGAGAGGGTGCGAAAACAAGCACGCACCCAAGTCGAGAGCTCATCTCGTAGCGTGCAACGTTTCAACGGTGCCGATGGAAATGGACAAGGAGGAAAACTCGCGGTGAGAATCTCACGATTCGCGCTATCGTCGCCGATATTTTCGCGTCTAAGACCCGACAGTGTAATAATAATTCGGCTGCTGGTGTCTACGTAATAACTAAGTACAAATAAGATGACGCGCCACGATTTTGTTGTTCTTTCTTTTTTTATTCTTCCTTGGTATTGTTGCATTCGTACGCTAATTTGATCTGATCGATCGGACTCATTTCTTTTCGTGTCGGTAGCGTGTTCCTCGATACAATATAATACAACTGCAATAAGAATGATATAACTAATAATATAATAATAATATGTTAATAATGTAATAATATAGTAATAATAAAAAAAACACCATTGTCTCCACCATCGTCGTCGTCTTGTCGTCGTTTTAATGTATTTATAATATTTATACCGTGGCATGTGTGTGTATGTGTCTGTGTACGTCGTGTCTGTGTGTAAATCCATACAATTACATCGTATCGCCGCGAGATAGGTGTATAATTACAATTACAATCGTACTTATTATATTCACAACTTAATCGTTTCGCCGCCGTCCTTGCTAAAAACAATGCGCAATTATTGTTTGCCCCCGTTCTACCGTCCGACGTTCTCTCACGATCAATTATTATTCATTATTATTATTGTTGCTTAATTGTATGTACAGAAGAGGTATATATTCAATAATATTAATATATTAGTATTTATAATAATTTAAGTTTACGCTTCACGTGACTACTGTGTGTGTATTTTTATTTGTCGTATGTATGTGTGTGTATATTTGTGTATGAATATGCGTGTGTAGGTACGGTGATTTTATTTTTTTGTATTGTTGTTGGCTCTAGAAAAGAAGACTCGCTTCGCCTCCGTCATGCTTCCTTCCCTCTTCGTGTTCTTCGCTGCGAGGCCGAGTGTATCGTTTCCGAGGGCTTTACCACGAGTCGCGATCGGAGGGGTAAAATTCTCCGACGGACTCTCGCCGAGCTTTCTGCTCTCTTTCTCTCTCTTTCTCGGCGAGTAAATCTCTCGACGGTACACAGGGTACGGACTGAAATGTACACACTTTCGGGAAAGGTCGTCTCGCGAATGTACAAAAACGAATTGGCGCGCGCGGATCGCCGATGTCCCGACAGGAGGTCGTCAGCGAGGAAACGGGGAGAGTCTCGACGACGGGATGTCCCCGGGAAATCGTCTCGAGCGTCTCATCCCTCGACTTTCGCTCGAGGAATCGCCGACGTCGAAATCTCAACGAGGACGAAACCGGAGTCGGAAGAGAGAGAGAGAGAGAGAGAGAGAGAGAGACTCCGGGTGAGTTGACGCAGGTCGGAAAAAGTGCGCAAAGTACACATTATTGCTCTGGCGATTGGTCCTCCCTCCTGTCGGCGGGAGGGAACGACTGGGAACTCGCTGGGAGCATCGTCGATCCGCGGGGGTGTCTCCGGATGGTGCGGGGATTGAAACGACGATCGATGCGTTCGTTGGTCCGCGCTGAAACCTTGCTGAGAGGTCGAATCTCAATGCCGACGAAAATGACGAATTTCAGGCAGTTTGAAAAAAACCGAACGAGCCCCCGATTGATTCGCGAGAATCTGCTGATATCATATTTCATAAAGATTCCAATGAATCGAGGAACCCGCGCAGATCCAATTCGGAAGATACGGACATCGAAATTCACCGCCATCCACGCGTCGAAATCACACGCCGCTTTTCGATCCCCGCACGTCAAACACACGCGCACACACCGCACACTCGTCTTGCTCCTCTCGCTCGAGGGAAACGAAAAGAAATCGCTCTCGGGGGGAAGAGCATTTCTCTTTCTCTATAATGTCACTGGAAACGCCCTCGCGATGATGTCCCGAATGACGTTTCCGGTGCTACGCTCTAATACGAAGGAACGATCTAGAGATCTAGTCTAACTATTGATGTAGACTCTACACACTGTTCGTGTACGTGTTTTGTGTGTGCGTGCGCGTGTGTGTGTGTGTGTGTGTGCTCTCTCTCTCTCTCTCTCTTTCTTTCTCGCTCTCTCGCACTCCCTTTCTCACTGTACTAAGGACTAACTTTTTTAAACTAAGACGTCGCCTATACGCGATCTACCTCACTGTTAAGTTTAGCAACATGGACATTATTATTTTGTTTCTTCATTAATCTCTTTCCCTCCCCCTTCCCACCCCCGTCCCTACTCTCGCCCCTTGCCCGCTCGATTCGCGTCGTCGTTTAAAATATTCCGCTTTTGTATAATATTCGCCCACTCTTACTGCGCTAAAGATGGATTATCGTTTACATTTCTTTATTTTCTTCTTACCAATTTATCGATTAGTCGTGTTAATTATTTCACCCCTCCCCCCTAAGAAAAAAAATCGTCTATCGTCCTTACGGTATTTCTAAAACCACCGGTATGTTTCGATCTATCTCTCAGCCGGGTTTTCTTTCCTTTATCTCTTGTTTTCCTCTTCATTTATA